TTTTACAGCACTCGCAACACAATAAATGAAACCCACAGGGAGCACGAGGCAGGGGTAGGCCATGGGAAACATGAAGGAGATGTATGGAAAGGGACATGAGAGAGATAAAGCTCACTTGGAAAGAGCTAGGAAGGATGGCCCTGGACAGAGATAGATGGAAGGAGCTTGTATGTGGCCTATACCCTGCCAGGGGTGAAGGGCATTGATGATGGTGATGATGTAACACAATAGGTCATATAAGCACCAAGACTACAGGTATTACTAGAGAGTAAAGTACAAAGAAAAGGAGAAGGAGAGGTAAGGACAACAGAAGTTTGAAAGGAAAGAAGGAGCAAACCACACCAGAACATCTGCCAACCACTCACAGATTTAACATCAAGTGACAACAGTACTCTCCCCTTAAAACACTATCAACCCGGGCAGTATTGCATACAGACGTATTTCAAAGGCTACCAAAAATGACTTATGTCTATATATGCAATACTGCCCGCATTAATTTCTATATGAGGTGAACACTTTAGATTGAACTGGTCTGTTCAAGAGGAATAGGAACATTTTAATTACTGTCTTGCTGAATACAAACGGACAGGGAGTAAAATAAGAATATTTCGAGTCACCGTGTGCTGTATACAATATGAGTGGCATCAAGGTGAAATCAGGCCATAGTCAAAATAATGAAATCAAAGAAACCAATATTTCTCTGCCTAAATGGGGGGGGGGGGTATACACCTTTTACGTCCATCTCAAAACCTCATTCCGTGTGGATTCTTCAGAAAAATGCTGATTAAAGACACCAAAAGTTGTAAAGTTTCAGTTTCCAAGGACTCTCAAGCTTTTTAAGTCACCAAACTTGGGCCGCCGTTTTCTTGCTAATTTTACCCCTGAAGCCAGGCGACCTTCAGCTCCTTCAATCGCAAATATCTCACTTCGATTCAAGATAGATAGGTACTTTTTTCATCAAAAGCAAGACAAATGAACAAGCATTAAGTCAAGTCAACACCAATAACATCTCATTGGGTGGGGG